AAAAATAAAAGTATTGGTATCGTGGAAAAAGTGGAAAAAGTGGTATCGGTGCATCTCTAATATATATCAAATAAATATAGCTTACAAATTGAACCTTCTAAATCTTCTAAATATAAATTGGGACTAAGGTTTGCAAACTGTATAAAGAATTATTTGTTAATTAATAAACAAATAATTTATTTGTTTTTATGTCATGTGTGTGTTTATTAGCTGCTAGAGAGAGTGAAAATGCAGCTGGCCTCTTTTCTGGAAGACCCCCAGTATCAGGACCAGCATTCTTTGCACATGGAAATCATCAAAACATTTGGAAGAGTAGGACCCAACGCAGAGCCCCGCTTCAGAGATGAATGCGAGTGTCATCACTATATGTTTACTTGCTTATGCAAAGTTTCTCACTATTTGCACAGACAAAAGCACCATAGCGTGTTGTAATGTGATGATAACAGTACCGTCATGCTTCTGTGACTCTGTTTGCCCTTTAGTGCACGTACATTAGTGCGGCAGATGTATTTTCTGTCTTTCATGTCCTGTTCTCTCTGTTTTTTTCCACAGTTGTTCTTCCTCATTTGCACAAACTGGCTCTGTGCAACAACCAGCAGACGGTGGAGAGTAAAAGAATTGACATTGCCACTCAACTGTTTGAGGCATACAGCGCCTTATCCTGTTGTTGTATCTTTTATAGTCACATAAGAGAGATGTTTGACTTACAATTTTGCCTGTTTAGAACCACTTTTTACTGTTAATCACCTTTCATCTTGCCTCACATAGCATGGTTTTGACTATTATGTTAGGAATAGTTCACCCAAAAATGAACATTTGTACTCGCCCTCAGACCATCCAAGCTGTAGATAAGATATAGATGAAGTTTGCTTTTTCATGGGAACAGATTTGAAGAAATATAGCATTACTCGCCAATGGATCCTCTGTAGTGAATGGGTGCCGTCAGAATGAGAGTCCAAACAGCTGATAAAAACATTAAAAGAATTCACAAGTAATCCACACAACTTCATTCCATCAATTAACATCTTGTGAAGAGAAAAGCTGCACGTTCAAGTGTTTTTATTGTTTTTGTAAGCCTCGGTAATGCCCAGCGGTTTGCATTTCCAGAAGTTGATTTTTCTCTAAGAGGGAACATTTTGATTACAAATTGAAAACAGATAGGCTGCGGAATTGGACTGTACACCTCCACTGCTGATGTTTGAGAGCAGAAGCCATCTTTCACCGGTTTCTCTACTGATTTTGTGGCATATGGCAGCTTGCACAGTATAACCACAGTTTTACCTCCAATTTCAACTTAAAAACAGATACTGAACACACAGTCTGTGTGGCCACTTTCTCTCTGTGCTTTTTGAATTTTTGAGCGATGGTCAACTATTTTAGCTGGACATGAGTCTCCATAGCTGGATTTGCATTCTCACTCTCTCTTTTTTTTTTCCACCTTTTTTTTTCTGAGTGCTTCATCGTTGCGAAAATGTTTGCATAATCCCACTGGCAGGGAAAGAAAGAAAATAAACCTCAGCCATTTTTGTACACTAAATTGCAGGGTGGATGGCAGAATTTGTCGTTAAACGCTCTGTGATGTTGTTCGTTTGAGTGAAGAGAGCCTAGCCCAGCCCTTTGGTCAGGGCAGAGCCCCGCTTTGCAGATGCAGATGCTCTTTTGTCTTGTTCTCCCCCCATCTTTCTCCGTTTCATTTTATTTTTGTCCGCTGTGTCACAGTTGAGACCCCCCTGTAGCAGTGGCTTGCCCCCCAGGCAGTTTTGTGAAACCTCATCCTGTCTGTGTTTTGAGGTTTTGCATTATGATCGATATGAGGTTGAGTCTGGATCGGTGGACTGTATACTGGTGTGTATTTACTGTAAAAGTGCAAGTCATTATGGGAAGGCGATAGGGGTTTAACTGTGCAAATTTCTCACGGTTTATATCAAGTTTTGCGGTGGTCATGGTTTCGGTTTGGTCTCTTTTAGGGGTGCACGATCATCAAGCTTTCAGCAGATACCAATAACTCATGTTAAGACTGTGTTTGATGTTTAATTCATTTGCGGTTTTTGGTAGATTCAGCTGAATTACCAAAGTTATTCTTGAAAATCAAAATTCATACATATTTTGAATTATTGTTTATATTTTCAGATGAATTGTGAGCAGAGCTCGTGTGTTCATTTAGTAAAAATGTAATATTTTGCTGTATTATGAATGTCATGTATTTTCAGCAAATATTGGTATATGTGGTTTAATTATCATTTATTTAAAGTAATTAATTAATTGGTATATCATGTAATATTATGGTGTATCATGTAATAATTGATATATCATGTAATTAATTTAATTGAAGATTAACAGCCATAACTGTAGGTTTAATATACTTTGAAATTTTGAATTACTTTTTTTTTTCAGTCTTTTTTGTTTTCACTCAGTGATTAATAGTTTTATTGTAGCTTTATGTTTTTCAGTGTTTTAGTTTCAATTTATTTTATGAAACGTTTATAGATCCACAGTCCTAATTGTAGGTTTATTGTATTCAATTTTGAATTCGTTTTTATTTTATTTTATTTTCAGTCTTTTTTGTTGTTGTTTTTTTCCAGTGTTTTGTCATTTAAATTTAATGAAACTGTCACAGATTTACAACACTAATTATAGGTTGATTATAGTTTTACATTTAGTTTTTATTTTCTTTTTGTTTTTTTGTTGTTGACTTTTTCTATGTTATATAGTTTCAATGTATTACATTTTTATTTTGAGAGTTTTAGTATTTATGCGCTGTTGTGTATCAATGACTGAAATTTAATTTGTTGCCATTTTGGGTTTTATTTTTAAAGTCATATTATATATTATTTTAAAGTCATAGTATATATTATTTCACATATGGCTAAACGTGTATATTTCACATGTTTGACATAGTCTTTTCTTAACTCCGGGGCTTTAGTTATTTCTGAAGAACTCATGGTAAATCATTTCCTCCCTGGACTGAGATGTTTGAGGACAGATATGGAGCAGCTCTCTCCGGAGCATGAGGTATTAAATCAACATTTTTAAAAACAAATTTTTTTTTCATGTCTGTATGACATAATTACAACAACCACCCATAATCCTTAATTAAATACAGACGCATAACATTATATCCTTTTCCTAAGCCTGGTCTAGTCTTGTCGTCTTAAAAGTTTTATCACGCTGCATGTCATATAACCCAATTTCTATTTATTTAATTTCCTTTGTCTAGTAATGTCCAGCTGATGTGCGTGTGTCTGCATGTATGTCAGACTTCCCAGCAGTGCTCTAAGAATACTCCCTCCTTTTCCCGTTTGTCCTTTAGGTTATTCTCAGTTCCATGATAAAGGAGTGTGAAATAAAGGTGGAGAACAAAGGCATTGGAGAGGCACAAGGGTGAGAAGACACACTCTTTCATTTTATTCATACAGTCACCGGGTTTTGTGTTTACTGCAAATGGAGCCTCAAATCACTACATGCAAGAGGAAAATCTAATGAATACAGTGTCTGCTTCTCCTGTACTGAAAAAAAAAACAAGTGAACAAGTGCTCATTCAGTAGCAGAGTAAAAATAAATAATTTCACAGGAGTTCTCAAGCACTACAGCACTCAGGAAGGCTTTTCGCATGCTAATTTCCTCAATTTATCTGTTTGAGTTCAGCTTGGGTTTGACTCAGTCTCTCCACTGCTAGGAGAGTTCCCATCAGGCATTGCAGGCCACTGGTTTAGCCACATGATTATTGCAAACCCACTCCATTTGGGCTGTGCCTGTAGGCCAATGGTAATGCTGCTTCATATTACACTTGTAGCAGCTGTGTAAAGCTACATGGAATCATACACTGTTATTTGTGACCCTGGACCACAAAACCAGTCATAAGGCTCAATTTTTTGAAATTGAGATTTATACATCATCTGAAAGCTGAATAAATACGCTTTCCATTGATGTATGGTTTGTTAGGATAGGACAATATTTGGCCGAGATACAACTATTTGA